ACCTGTACAGTCCATCCCTCCAGCCCCATCCCACCCCCAAGAGGCTGCCAGGGACAGAACTGGGGCTGCACAGAAGGAACCAGCAACCCCAGAGCAGGATGCAGGGCTGGTCCTTGACCAGCTCAGCCCATTTCCACTTTTAGTCACAGCAAAATGGGTACAGGCTCCCCAGCCTGCCCTGCACCACAGGGTGTGTGCAATCAGACCACAGCTGAGTTCATCCCCTGCACCAGCACCAGCCAGGACAGCCACCTCCTCCTGCAGCCTCCTGTGCCTGCTCCAGGCAGGGAACTGCACTGGCACAGCCCTGGCACAGCCCCCATGCCCAGAGACCTGTGACCACTCTGTGCCTTTCATTCTGTCTGAAACCAGCAGCCAAGCTCTGCAAAACCTGGATCTCTTGGGTGTTGGATCTCGTCCCAACCACAGCTGCTGTTCTGGATAGAGTGTAAAAAAACCAAGAAGGGCCTCTTCCGACCTGTGGCTGTTGTTACAGAGACTCCACAGTCACAGTAACCACCGAGACCAGCTGATGTTACAAACTCCTGCAACTCCTTACAGATGTTGTATCTCACTGTTTTCATTGCGAATAACGTGCCTTATGTAAGGACAAAAAAACCCCCAGCCAATGAGGCACCTCAGTTTGCACTAACACTGCCCTATTTACTGTCAGGAGACCAATAAAGATTTCCTCTCTGAGTCACACCACTGGCTGGCTCTTCCACGTGCTGTTCATTGCTGGGTGGGGGTGTTACATGTGGGGTTACTGCTGCACCCCCACCTCCGGGCAGAAGCAGCACACATGGATTTCCAAAGGTTCCTGCCTGTCCTGAACTCACCCAACTCGATTCCCAGCCTCCAACTTGCTTTCCAGCCTCAGGCAGCACGTGGCAAAACCAGCAATTCTCCTGGGGACTAGGAGAGGGCTGGTGGCAAAGCAGCCAGAGGGAAGCGATTTCCTCGATGCTGGAGGCTGCTGTGTAAATGCAGAGAGCCAGCAGGCAAGGCTGCAGCCACAGAACTGGCAGCTTGGCTCAGGAACAGCTGTGCCCAGTTATTCCAGAGGAAAACCAAAGTGGCTCCTCCTACCCATCTTCATAGCGCCACTTCCACTGCTTAGCGGGAGAACACAGCAGGGGAAATAAACTCAAAATAGAAAAATAAGGGTTTATTTCACATCTTACAAGGTCCAGATCAGTGCTCTGAGCGTGCTCCCAGCTTGCTGAGCTTCTGCAGGAGGGTGCTGCGCAGCTCCTCGTGGCCCAGGCTCTCTGTGACAGACTGCAGGAAGTGTCCCTCGTTGGCCCTGCGCAGCGCGGCGCAGGGCGACCCGTCAGCCCTGCTGCACGCCTCGTACTGTGACAGCACCTCCAGGGCCACCACCAGCAGTGGCTCCTCGCAGCCCGTGGCTGGCAGCATGGCAGCCACGTGCAGCAGGTGGCAGAAGAGCTGGATGCAGGTGAAGGACAGCTCCTGCGTGCAGGGCTGAGCCGCGGCTCCCGCCGTGGCCTTGAGGGAAGCCAGCAGGTCGGTGAGGCTGGCGCAGTACAGCTGCACCACGTGCAGCCAGGCCTCTGGTGGCAGCCAGCTGGAGCAGCTGGAGCTGCAGAGGAGCTGGAAGCCCCGCAGGAAGAGCACGGAGAGCTGCAGGTGGCAGGAGAAGGGGCGGAGGTTGAGCAGGGGCAGGTGCTGCACGTACTCCAGCGTGTAGGGCACGTGCAGCACCTGCCTCTGCAGCAGCTGCTCCACCACAGGCACCAGCCTCTTCCACTCACCGTGGCTGCACCAAGGCAGCACCTGGATGAGGGCCACCAGGAAGCCTTTGCTGAAGAGATTCACCTCCTCTGGGCTGTCCACGTTGACGGTGAGCAGAGCCAGCATGGTGTCCCTGAGCACTGGGGACACGCAGCAGCACTCCATCCACGCCAGCAGCCCGCTGCCTGCCCCGTAGGCTGGCCAGGGCTGGGATGTCCACTCGTCCTCAGGGAGCCTGCAGATCTCAAACAGCGTGGCTGGCACCTCGTTCTTGAAGTGGTCCCCATAAAGCTTCTTGAGATGGAGCCCCACGGTCCAGTCCAGCGAGGCCACCTTCCTGTGGAGCCAGGCCAGTGACTGCACCCACAGCTCCGAGGAGGGGACGGCCTCTGGCCCCACCAGCTCGCACAGCTGGCAGAGGATGCTCTGAACCAGGTCTTTGGTCTCCAGGGAAGGGAAGAGCTGCTCCCCAGGCTGATGCCAGTACTTGGTGTAACCATCCAGAAGTTTGCAGAGGCTGAGGAGAAGTGGGAAGGGGTGGCAGGATTTGATCCAGTGCTCTTCTGAGCAGGATGGTATTTCCAAAACCTTACTGAGGATCTGCAGGCTCAGCTCGATCTGAGCGGAGTCTGACTTCAAACAGGGAAGGACAAAGGCTCTGGTCACTTCTGCAGGTGACACAAGTGGGGTGGCTGAGCCTGGCTGCATGAGAAAGGCCAGGAACTGAAGGAACTGCTCCTCTTCCCTCGCTGTGGAAAGCTTTCCCCACACTGCCTCCTGCAGACACCTCAGCACCAGGCTGCGTGCCCTGCCTGGATCCTCGTGGCTCTCCAGGAAGCTCAGTGCTGGGAAGGAGCAGAGGATTTGGGCAAGGAACTGGTGTGCTCCAAGGTTGACCACAGCAAGATGACAAACCTGCTTCACTGTGGCCTCAGGGGACAGCAGCATCAGCCTGGCCACGGAATCCACAGCCCTGGCCAGGCCTTCATCAGACACACTCTCTGTGATCTGGTTCAAGGTCACATTCAGGTCCTCCTGGAACCCCTCCCTGACCACCTGCATGTTCTGGGACAGACCTGGGCCACCCCAGGCTGCCAGGACACCTGAGATCACTTTGTTTTTGTCACTCAATGAAAGCTGAGTGTAACACTCCACGATGGCTTTGGTCACTTGCATCTGCAGCTCTTGGGCCTCCTTGTCATGGTGGGATGTGGCAAAGTTCACCAGCGTCTCCAGCAGTTTCAAAACTAGCTCAGAGGTCTGGAACAGAGCTTTGTTTTCCACCAGGCACTCCACCCAGGCCTTTGAAAAAGCCCAGGTCTTTTCAGAGGCAAAAACAGAGCACGTGTCCACGTGGCGGTCCAGCCTCTGTGCAATGATTGCCATGGCAACTGCAGACACCAGGCTGGTGTCCACATCCTCCAGGACAGCACTGGTGTCCCTGAGGAAGTCCCTGGTGAGCTGTGTCAGCTCTGACACCACCCGTGTCTCGCCCTCCCCCAGCTCTCTGCTCTCTGAGAGGAAATCCAGGCTCTTCCCAAGGCTGCCCAGAGCGCCCAGCAGCCGGTAGCTCTGGAAGCACAGCTCCTCAGATCCCCTCAGAGCGTCCTGCAGCTCCTCTCCCCAGCCCTGCAACAAGCTGCAGAGCAAGTCCAAGCCACCAAAGAGCTCCTCACGAGAGGGTCTGGTCAGGCACAGGAGGCTCATGCTCCTCTCTGCCTCCCTCACCTTCTCTCCCAGCCCGCAGGGGTGGTACTGGCAGTCAGGGTCCCTGCTCCAGAGGCTGACCACGGCACTGACCTTGGCCAGGTGCTCTGTGATGGGCAGGGGGCTGTGCCCCGGCCCCAGCTCCGAGGACAGGCACAGCAGCTCCGCCAGGTTGGCCAGGGCGTAGCACCTGAGGCGGGGCTGGGTGACGCTGCCCCGGATCTGCTGTAAGCCCTGCAGCAGCACCGTGGGCAGCCCGGAGGCAGCTGGGGCGCTCCCAGGGTCACCCTTGAACCTCTTAGGGGGCTGCAGACCATCCTCCGGGGAGGACTCCCCGCCGTGCTGGTGGATGAGAGCGCCGAACGCCGACACCGTGGCATCCTCCTGCCCCTCCCTGTGCTTCAGCACCTCCCACCACACGTCCAAGAAGAACCCGACGTCCGACGGCGATGTCTCGCTGGAGATGTACTCCACCAGGCTCTCCAGTTGTCCCCGGCACACACCGGGGGGCAGCGCCAGCAGCAGCTGCACCAGGAGCCGCGGCGCGCCCAGCGCCTTGACCAGCTCGAACAGGGCGGTGTGGTTGACATCGGGGATCATCGCGCCCACCGAGAAGAACCCGTCCTCCTTCCAGCCCCACTCCAGCGCCGCGGCGGCGGGCGGCGCGGGCAGCAGGATTTTGGCCCACACGATGGCCACGGCCTCCTTCTTCCACAGGCCCAGCGGCGAGGGGCAGCGCTCGCCGATCTCGCGCAGCGCGTCCGTGATGGGCACCCCGGCGCGGGGCCAGTCGGCTTTGCGCAGCTCCCGCAGCGGCCGCGGCTGCAGCAGGCGGGCGGCCAGCAGGAAGCCGCCGTGCAGGATGGCCGTCTCCTCGCCCACGGCCCACGGGCCCCCGGGGCAGCCCGGCGCCATCGCGGCCCCGCGCTCCGCCGGCTCCATGGCGGCGCCGCGCGCTGCTGACGTCACGGCGGCGGCGCGCTGACGTCACGCCGCGAGCCGCGCGCGCCCGCAGCGCCCCCTGGCGGCGCGGAGGTGGGCTTAATTAATTCATTCGTTAATTGCCCTGCTCTAATATCGACGTGTTCAATTGGACGAATAGGACTCAAAACCGTCATTAAAACGGAATTGAACTGGGCTTCATTCATTCATTCATTCATTGCCGTGCTCCAATATCAACATGTTTAATTTGACGAATAGGATTCAAAACTGTCATTAAAATGAATTGAATTTGGCTTAATTAATTAATTGCCATGTTCCAATATCAACATGCTTAATTTAACGAATAGGATTCAAAACCAGCACTAAAATGAATTGAATTTTGTTTAATTAATTAATTAATTGCCGTGTTCCAGTATCAACGTGTTCAATTTGACAAATAGGATTCAAAACCGTCATTAAAACGAATTTAATTTGGCTTAATTAATTAATTGCTGTGTTGCAGTATCAACATGCTTAATTTGATGAATAGGATTCAAAACCATCATTAAAACGAATGGACTTTGGTTTAATTAATTAATTAATTCATTAATTCCATGTTCCAGTATCAATGTGTTTAATTTGACAAACAGGATTCCAAACCATCATTAAAACTGAATTGAAAAGCTCGGACAAAATCGCGGTGAGGAATTTTTCCTGTTTGAATTTTTCCTGTTCCTGCTCGAAGTGCCAACCCTGCCTGATCTTCCCCGTGAAACTCATTTCAGTTCCACGATGAAAACCTGATTTAAGTTATTTTATTTAAGGTTTTCATCACAAAAAGGAGCAGTCAGGCAGCGTACCTGGCACAAACAATGCCAGGAATGGCTCCTGTACTCCCAGCAAAAGCAGAGTGGCTTCATTCCTGAGGAATAAACCCTGAACTGTTATTTCCAAAGGCAGTTTCCCACCAAAACCTAACTGCAAAACTCACTCCAAGCTGCCCCTGGCACCTCAGCAGCCACAAACCCCAAAGCACAGCCTCAGCTCCCTCCTGGGATGTGGAAATCTCCTGGAGAAGGGCTGGAAACCACCCCACCAACAGCAGGATCCCAGTGAGAAACACCCAGGGGCTTCTCCAGTGAACATTTCCCCTTGGAAATGGGGGAAAAAAAGTTGGGGACACACCTTGGGATGAAAACAAGCAGTGGAGAATCCACAGTTTGGCAAGATAATTTCTTTGTTCCAAATAAAGGGATGCACCCCACACCCCACTGGAGAGGGGAGCAGCCCCAGCTTCCTCAAAATCTCCTCTCCAGCCCTCAAATAAAGGACAGCCAAAGCAAGTTAATCAGGAAATCAATTAATCAGAAAATAACGTGTCTCTCCACCTTTCTTTCAAGTACAACAACACAGAAATGTGAGGTTTTCCTGATCCCTGCTTTTGCAGCCAAGCTGCTCCTTTGCTGCAGTTTTTTTGGAAGGAGGAGATGTGAAAAAGGCAGAGAGCAGCTTAAATCCAGAGACACCAGCTCAAATCAACCCAAAAAAAAACCACCACGGGACATGCCAGGACCTTCTGACTGGGGAGGCAGCACTTGAAGCAGGATTGGCATGTTCTGGAAGAGCTCCAAGGAGCAGCCCAGTCCATTCCTCCTCTCCCAGCTAAGCTGAAACCTTCTTCCTGTTGTGCTCAGCAAACCACTGGTCACTGTTGTCTGCAGCCATGGCCTGCACAAACACAGGGGATGTGCTCAGAACAGGGGATAAATCATTTTTAGTCACTAGGAAGGAGAACTGACACTGAAAAGCAATGCTCTCTGCCACAGCACACAATGTGACCCAAGAGTGAGGCTGGGCAACTCCACCCAGGGCATCAAGGGAGCTTTAAAAACTGATTTATTTTCCTTAACAAGCCCGGGTAATTTGTTTCTAGGAAAAACTCAATTTTTTATGAGTAAAAAATTAAATAGTAAAATAATTTTTTAAATTATGAAAATAATAAAGATATAAAAATACAATAAAATAATAATTAAATATGTTCAATTTTTAAAATAAATAAAATTTAAATATATAATAAAATATAATAATAAAATAGTATAATAATAATAAAAATATGAAAATAATAACTATAATGAAAATAATTTTAAAATGTAATTCTTTTTATAAGAAAAATTACAGGTATCTCTACAGGTATCTCTAATCAAGAAGAAAAAGAATATAAAAATAATAAAAAGAAAATAGAAAATAAATTAAAATAATTTTTAAATATAATTATTTTTATGACAAAAATTACAGGTATCTCTACAGGTATCTCTAATCAAGAAGAAAAAGAATATAAAAATAATAAAAAGAAAATAGAAAATAAATTAAAATAATTTTTAAATATAATTATTTTTATGACAAAAATTACAGGTATCTCTACAGGTATCTCTAATCAAGAAGAAAAAGAATATAAAAATAATAAAAAGAAAATAGAAAATAAATTAAAATAATTTTTAAATATAATTATTTTTATGACAAAAATTACAGGTATCTCTAATCAATAAGAAAAAGAATATAAAAATAATAAAAAGAAAATAGAAAATAAATTAAAATAATTTTTAAATATAATTCTTTTTTATCAGAAAAATTACAGGTATCTCTAATCAATAAGAAAAAGAATATAAAAATAATAAAAGTATAAAAATAATAAATAAAAATAATTTTAAAATATAATTCTTTTTTATCAGAAAAATTACAGGTATCTCTAATCAGGAAGAAAAATAATATAAAAATAATATAAATAATAATATTATGAAAATAATAAAAATAATACAGAAAACCAATTTAAAATATAATTATTTTTATGAGAAAAGTGCAGGTATCTCTCATCAGGAAGAAAATGAACATGCAGTCACTCACATCATCCAACAGCTTGTCACCATGAGGATCCACCTGGGACAGCTCTCTGAAGGCTTCATCTCCCACAAAACAGACTTCATGGCCATCCTGGAAGGAAGCAGCTGGGTTATAACCGATGGAAGGAGGATTTCCCCCCAGCTCAGTGTGGGCAGTGCCACTCACAGGATCAGCCAGAATAACCACTTGCACCGTGGCTTTGCCAGGCGTGTCCAAGCTGACCAGAGGCGTCAGAATCTTCTGATTCTCCTTTTTCATCAGGGCTTCGATGCTCGGCAGCTGGAAACAGCAAACAAAATCAAATCACTGCAAAGAAGATAAACTACGTGCTCAGGATTGTTTTGTTGATAATAAAAAGGGGGAAGGGCTGAGGGAAGCGGGGCTGGTACCTCGTCCTTGGCGCAGGAGAAGGCGATGCGGCCGAACGCTGTCCCGTGATCCACTGCCCCTCCAACAGCCCTCAGCTCCAGCTTGCACTGCACCAGGGGAAAAAACCCAGCCTGGCTTGCAGGGACACTGCTCTCCAGGCTGCAGCTTTTCCTCCAGGATGTGGTGATTCCAAAATCCCCCATCCACACCTTTCCCACCAAGCCACAGCAAACCACAGCTCTGCTTTTCTTAAAAGCACAGCTGAGTGTGTACAGCTTCAATTAAAACACTCAATGCTCTAATTAAGAACTTTTTTCCTTTTAAGATTCTGTTCTCAGTAAACAAAAAGTGTTTCTAGTGATTTTTCCAAGGACTGACCTGGTTGTCAGCATAGCCCAGCAAAGCCCTTTGCTTCTCCTCGTCCTTCTCATATATTTTCATCCCAAGCAAGCCAGACCAGTAGCTCACAGACTTCTGCAGGTTTGAGACACCCAGGGTTACCTTCCACACAGGATCTTGAGGATTGCAATAATTTCAAATTAGCTACAAACATATCATAGGTTTAAACCCAAAGTTGATGTCACTAGTACTCTTGAGAAGTAACAGAGAAATTATAAAAAAAGTGTTCTGTTGTACAAAATAAAATAAAAATAAAATAAACACCCTCTGATACCCCACTGGTAAACCTCTGCTGAACACCAGCAAAGATAAATATTTCACCTTGCTTGAGCTGTTCCTTGTCTTCCAGGTAGAACTTGTATCCTCCTGGGGCTTCAGTTTCAAAGACACCAGAGGTGACCTCTTTGAGGGGCCACTCCATCTTCTTGGCGTTGCTCACAGCCTGGCTGGACACCAGAGTGATGCCCTAGAGAGGACACAACACAATCCATGGGGTGGATGCAGAGACATCACCTGTTTTCACACAGCAAACACGAGATCTCCATCTGCTGCCAGCCACTAAGTCACAAAAAAATGATTAATAAATATAGGAGTGTTTTCCTGCAGCAAGTCCTTCCTAGCTCAGCATTCCATGTTGGATCTGGCAGCAAATACCAGCTGTCCTACACAAAGAGCACTGGCAGAGCTCCAAAAGTGTTTCCTGGACCTTTAAGTGAGCACAAATCTGCTCTTGCATCTTGGAGACAACCACAGAAGCAATACTGGAGTGTTTAGGACCAAACAGCATTAAAAAAAAAAGCAGCTGGCACAACCCATACAACAAATGAGCTTCTAATTATTAAGGTAAATGAGCTTATCATGAGAAGGGGTGTCTGCCTGGAGTGGAACTCACCAGGAAGTCGTTGCCCAGGCGATATTCTCCAACGCCATAATTGTAAGTCAGCTCCACCACAAAGTGATTGTCCTCTGGTCCATAGCCCACCATGGTCTTGCTCCATTTTCCATCATAAGGGCTGGAATATCCATATTATCCATGTTTTAATGTCATTAGTATTGAAGTGAACCACCAAGAGCTGCAAGTATTTGTGTTTGAAGGAGGAGCTGCATTTCTAGAGTGAGATCATGGCAGATTTGACCCTGGGCTGTCATTCATGGCTATATGATAAAAGCAATTCTACCTCATTAAAAGTGCTTTAAGGGCACAGGCTGCTCATTAGCTGCAATTACATAATCACTTCCTTATTGCTAAGTAGGAAAGGGCACCAAACTGTAAGATTCCTTCCTCTTCAGAAAGAAATGCATTCCTCTTTCTTCTTTCTTTCTTTCCTTTTTCTTTACAAAAGCCTTTGGGGCTACCAGGAGGGATTTTTAACTCAAGAACCTTGACAGTGCCACACTTATATAAACAATCAGTGGAACTGGATGTAATTCCTGGCAAGCTGAGAAATAATTCAGTTAATATTAATCTATAAGTGTGGTATTTTTGTTCCATTCAAGCCCCACACCTGCACGGAGTGGGGGGCTGTAGGTTCCTAGGGAAGCAATTCAATAAAAGACAACACAACCCTTATTTTACTGCCAGTAACAGCAGCACGGGGAGCTCAGGGCACTCACCCGTTGCAGGTGGCCTTGCAGCCCTCCTCGAACTCCTCGTGCCGCAGCACCTGCAGAGCCACAGCGCGCTCGGGGTCGGGAGGGGACCCTGAGGATCCCCTCGCTCCAGCCCGGAACGCCTTCCCCAGGGGGGTCAGGGCAGGCAGGAAACGGCTCCGTCCCATTCCCATCCCAGTCTCCATCCCTCTCCCATCCCTGTCCCCATCCCGATCTCCATTCCATCCCCGTCCCCGTCCCCATCCCTATCCCATCCCCCTCTCCTCACCCGTCCCCATTCCCGTCTCCTCCCCGTCCCCCATCCATCCCATCCCATTCCCATCCCCGTCCGATCCCCATCCCATTCCCATCCCTATCCCACCCCCTCTCCGTCCCCATCCATCCCATCCCATTCCCATCCCCATCCTCATCCTCGTCCCCATCCCAATCCCATACCCCTTTCCTCACCCGTCCCCATTCATCCCATCCCATTCCCATCCCATCCAATTCCAATCTCCGTCCCCGTCCCCGTCCCCATCCCCATCCCGATCCCGATCTCCATCCTCCTCCCATTCCCGTCCCCATCCTGATCCCTATCCCCGTCCCCATCCTGATCCCTATCCCCGTCCCCATCCCGATCCCTATCCCTATTCCCATCCCCGTCCTCATTCCCATCCCCGTCCTCACTCCCATCCCCATCCCTATCCCCATCCCCGCCCCGATCCCCATCCCCGTCCCCATCCCCTTCCCCTTTCCCCATCCCATCCCGTCCCGTCCAATTCCGTCCCCGTCCCCGTCCCCGTCCCCGTCCCCGCGCAACCTCCCGTTCCCGGCCGCAGCCGCCCCCGGGCGCAGCGGTGCCCGCCGCTCACCCTCATGCCCAGCAGCTCGCGGTAGAACCGCGCCGTGCGGGCCCGGTCTCCCACTTTGAAGACGAAGTGCAGCGCCCTGCGGGCGGCCATGGCGGCGGCGGCGGTGGCGTCACGGGGCGGTGCCATGGCGTCGCTGCCCTCACGGGGCGGTGCTGCCCTCACGGCACGGTGCCATGGCGGCCCTTCCCTCACGGGGCGGCGGCCGCCGCCGCCTCCGCCCGCCGTGGAGCGCGGCGCGGCCGCGCCGGGGCTGTGGTACGAGAAGGCGGCGCCCGGGGACCGCAGGCTGGGGTGAGCGCGGGGAGCGGGGCCCGGCCGTGCTGCCCCTCAGAGCCCGCTGGACGGGGGGACGTGCCGCCCTTGGGAGGGTACCTGCCGGGCTGCGGGTACCAGGAGGGTAGCGGGGAATTGTTGGGGTGGAAGGGAGCCCAAAGCCCGTCCTGTTCCACCCCTTGTTTGGGCAGGGACACGTTCCCACAGAGCAGGTTGTCCAAGCATCATCCAGCCTGGCCTTGGACACGTCCAGGGATCTGCAGCTGCTCTGGGCACCCTGTGCCACCCTCACAGGGAATCCCTCCCCATTATCCCATCTAATCCTGCCCTCTGGCAGTTCAAAGCCATTCCCCGTTGTCCTGGCACTCCAGGCCCTTGTCGCAGTCCTTCACCAGCTCTCTTTCAGGTACTGAAAGGTGCTCTCAGGTCACCCCAGAGCTAGCTCCTTTCCTCCTAGGACAGATCATCCCTCGGGTCACCTTTGTGACCTCCCAGAGAAGCTCTCAGGGGCTGATGAAGGTCAGACCGAAGGCTTGTGAGCATCACAGCCACACTCCCTGAATAATTTCTCCACAGGAAAGTGGTGACTATCGCCAAGTCAAAGAAGTTCCGGGATAATCACGGGAAGGTTCTGCTGGAGGGGCACAGGCTGATCAAGGATGCCCTGGAGGCAGGGGCTGTGCCACAGACACTCTTCTTCAGCACCGTGGGGCACCTGAAGCTGCTGCCCGAGGCAGAGATAAAACGAGCCAGCTTGGTTAAGGTGAAATTTGAAGACATTAAGACCTGGTCTGACCTCGTAACTCCTCAAGGGCTTCTAGGTAAGTTGCCTCTGAAACAGTTGCAACACTGCCCAAAGGGAAGCTTTTCATATTTAGGATAATGACTCTTAATAATCCTTCCTTAGACATAGCACTGCTGGAAAATAAGTTTTCCTTGCCAAGTGACAAACTCTGCTCAAACTTCCTTTAGGGGGTGGTTTTTCCTAACACTTCCTCCAGCACATCTCTAGTGAGATTTGGGCCAGCTCTTTCAGAGCAGGCCTCTCCTTGGGGTGGGTCACTCATAAACCTGTCACGCTTCATTTCCTCAGGCATTTTTTCCAAGCCTGACCCTGCCAAGATGTCCTACCCCGCTGCCCAGCTCGCCAACTCCCTGCCACTGCTCCTCATCTGCGACAACATCCGAGACCCAGGGAACCTGGGCACTATTCTGAGATCTGCAGCAGCAGCAGGCTGTGAGAAAGTGCTGCTCACCAAAGGTAAGAGAAAATTTTGAGTAGCCTGGGGGTAAGGCAGGGAATGAAGTGCTTGAAGATGTTGCCCAGAGTTCCTAAGGAGTGGCTGGCATGGTTGGCTGTGGTCTGAATCCCACCTTTGTGGGGATCCCTGTGCTGTCACTGTTTCTCCCCGTTCCTTCCCAGGCTGTGTGGATCCGTGGGAGCCGAAGGTGCTCCGTGCAGGCATGGGGGCTCATTTCCGTGTGCCCATCATCGCCAGCCTGGACTGGGAATCTGTTCCCACCAACCTCCCTGCGGGCACCCAGGTCTGCGTGGCCGACAACAACGACCCTGACGCTCCAGCAGGGAGCACATCCCTGCCCAGAGGGGCTGGCAGGGCTGCCTCTGCTCCCGCGAAATCCAGCCCCAAGGCTGCTCCTGAGCACCAGGATGAGGAGGGAGCAGCAATCCCAGAGCTGGCTGCACAGCGTTACTACGAGGACTGGGCACGGGCTCCGGTGGCCGTGGTGATCGGAGGGGAGACCCAGGGCCTGAGCCCGGCTGCACTGGGGCTGGCAGCCAGCACGGGGGGGAAGAGACTGCTCATCCCCGTGGTGCCAGGCGTGGACAGCCTCAACTCTGCCATTGCTGCTGGCATCGTGCTGTTCGAGGGCAAGAGGCAGCTGCTGTGGAGGCACAAGCAGGAGGATGGCAGGCAGAAGTTGCCTGTGCCAGGCTGAACTGTTTGGTTCTTTGCATTTGGTTCCTTGAGGGTTAATAAAAGAGCAGCTCGGGCTGTTTGGTTTGTAGTAAATGAGTATTTAAGGCTGAAGAGTGCTGGATTGAACGTGTGGCTCCCACTTGATGTGGTGGCCACACGGTGATGCTAGAGAGAAGGGAAGGGAAGGGCAGGGTAGCAGCCCTGGCCTCACCTCAGCCGGTTCCCCCCTGCTCCAGCCCTTCCATCCAGGAGATCCATGGAGACCTCAGATCCCTGTCTGTGCTGGCCCAGCCAGGCTGCTGCTGACAGCGTGTCCTTCCCAGCCTGGCTGCTGGCTGTGGTTTTGGGTCACAAAGAGCAGATTGCTGCTGCCTGAACGGGTCGTGCCTGTGCTTACCCAAATCCTGAGCTCCAGCAATCCCTCCAACCCTGCCATGGCCAGGCTGGCAGGGGGTGGCTGTGCTCTGGGGTGTCCCAGCTCCAGCACTCCTGCCCACGCTGCTGGGAGGTGTTGGGCTGCTCCTGGAGCTGCTCCCCAGTCAGTTCATCACTGCTGAACAGGGGAACCCCTGAAACGCAAACACAGGCTGGGTTCTACAGGCCGAGCTGGCGGCCGTTCCCAGCTCCTGGCAGGGCGGGAAGCTGCAGCAGGATAAAAGGGGAGGCCGTAATCCTGCCATGGCTGACTAATGAGCTGAAAGGGAGAAGCAGTGGCTTGCACAACACGGGCTATTCAGGCTGGGAACGCCCCAGTGGCTGCCAAAGGGCTCCCTCCCTCCTGGGGAGCTCGGACCGATGCCAGCACAGCAGCACAGCCGGGGCTGTGTGTGCCCAGGGGGAACACACAATCCCTGGAGCCACCTATCCACGGGGTCGGGCTGTGGGCTCCTCTTCCCCACACAGGTTTCCTCCTGCAGCAATCAGCACCTCCAGGACGAGGTCATTGTAACAGTTTTATTACAAAGTTCCAATCACCATGTACAGTTTTTACAATGTCACTTTTCAAGGGCTCGGCTGTGCTGCTTGGGTTAGGGAGGGAGGGTTTTTTTTCTTAGGGTTTGGGAGGGGGTTTTTTGGTTTTTTTTTTTTAAAGAACAGCACCATTAACGTTGAGTTTGGGACACACCTACGAAAAACAGCTCAATCAACTAACACAGAGGGGAAAGGACAATTCATACCAGAGAGAAGGACGAGAGGGGACAGGGAGAGCACAAGGAAGAGACAAAAGGTGAGGGCAGCCCGGTGGTGATCCTCCTCCTGGCTCAGAGTGGGAGGGACAGAGGGAATACCCACCCATGGCAGGGGATGGACCCTGACACAACAGCCAGCGCTGCCTAAGGCTGTCGGTGCTTGGAGTGGGGGGTGGGAAACCCACAAGGGGAAGGTCTCACCCCCAGGAGGAAGAGCTTGGCTGTGCCGTGGTCTTTCAGAGGTTGTCAGCAGTTAAGACTTTGTCTTGGCCTTGTCAGGGCACTTTCGTGGGAGAGAAAGAACTGGCCAGGGGCGATGGGGACAGTTTCCTTATTGCTTCCTGGAAGTCATTTAGTCAGCAGGGGTGGTGAGAAAGGAAAGAAGAGGGGGGAGGAGAAAGAAAAGAGCCCCAAGAACCCCACCCACTGCCTGATGCATACGTTGGGAAGAACACCATGCAAAAAGATTTGCCTGCTAGCAAGTGCCATGTATAAAATGATATGGTAACAGTTCTGGCCTGGTTATTAGAGAATATATCACCATGAAGCACAAGCGAAGTCTCCAAACGCCAACAACTCCCTGCTGAAAGTGCATCTCAAGGAGTTTGCTTAGGAGAAGGATTCACTGCGTAAAACAAGGCACCACAAGAAGGTTGGATACTGGGTCGGGCGTGAGGACACGCTGGAGAATCCACAAGCGGCGGAAGAGAGACCTAGTTTTAAATAACGTCTGTTGGCACAGGGCCCCTTAGATGGGCTCGGGTTTTAGCTTGTCTGCTAGAAAGTCGCTGACAAAGGCTTCCACGATTTCAGGTGTGATCTCCTCCACATCCATCACATACTTGGCCCGGGCTGACATGTCCAGGATGGTGAGCAGGGGTGCAGCCTCGGGCAGGTTGGTGTAATCCCGCAGGGAGTCAGTCATGTCGTCCTGGAGGCCAAAAGGAGAAGGACAGAGGAGTCAACAGGAGAGCAGGAGCAGTTTGCTGCTGCCACGGTGTATCCCAAGAGGCTGGGCCTTGCACCAGCACTGCAGCACCACCAGCATAGCAGGCAACATCCATCTTGGTGCCTGCTCTGCTCGTGGTTTGTGTCAGAACCAAACTGGGTTGGTTGATCCCAGGCTGGAATGGGACATACACTCCTCCAACCCTGAGGGACTGCTTCCAGACTGACCTGCTGCCTCGGCCACCCCAGAGCTTCTGGGACATCCACGGCTGAAGGAACTGGGGACAAGTGCTGAATGTGGGGACTGCCAGCTCCCTGCCAGCACAGCCACGGCCTTGCTGCTCACCAAGGGTGGGTACCAAAGGGAGCCAAGTGCATGCCCAGAACAAAGCAAAGAATGGGAACAGGATGAAGACTTGTGCTTTGAGCCAACGATGGGACCCCACCAGCAGGTCCCCGCGTCTGGGCACACACAGCAGCAGCAGGCTGCTTGCAGGGGGAGAGGACTGCCCTCCCCTCACCCAGGCAAGGCTCAGCTCTGGGCAAAGGCAATGATTTATCCCTCCCAAGGCTGCGGGATGCAAAGCGCCGGCGCGATTCATCACTGAGCCCACAATGCGCCGCACCCGCAGCGGGGCGTTCCGAGGGGCAGGAATGGATTCCATCCACCTGGTTGGCGGCCGGGGCTCTGCAGCGCGTGGCGGCGGCGCTGGGGAGCTCCGCTCGCGCCTCCCCTTCCTTTGCAGGGGTTTCT